AAGCTGAGCTCTTTTTGTTAAAGAGTTAACTACGAAGGATCTTTAAGTGTCGGGTGCAATGCGAAGCACGTAAAGATGTTTGTAGAATGTATTATAGGCGTTGTGTATCTGATTTATTTACCATGTGGTCGATACTACATCGGTCACACAGGGCGCTGTCATAAAGATCACCTTAGGGAGCACGCAAATCTAATGCGCGGATCAGTGGGCAGCCACTTGGCGAGTCACTGTGCGAATTGTGGGTGTACCCTGAATTTTGATGAATGCCAAGTAATGGCAAGATATAAGGACAAGAGGGCACGTGAAATATATGAGGCTTTTTTATTCGCAAAGCAGGAACTGAGTGTGTAAGTGCCCCGTCCGTCAATCAGTTGGATAATGAATACAAGTACATGTTCAGTTAAGTTGTCATTTCAAGCTTGGAATAAAGTGGTATGGCGCATGCGCCATCATTTGTTCTTTTTTGTGTATGATCTCCTCGCCTTCTTGACTGCATATGTATTCCCGCCATCTGTGCAATAAAATTGGTTGTAAGTTTGCACTCTGTCCTGTGTCTCTCTGCTTCTATCTTCCTTCTTAAAGATCAAAGATCCATTCTACAGCCTCATGGTTTTGGGTCCCACCTTAATATGCATGTTAATGCTCTCTGTGGTACAATCAAATTAATTGATTTTTTAATCATAACAAGCTCATTTCATGCCAAATGCCCCAACCAAAGATCCATTCTACAGCCTCATGGTTTTGGGTCCCACCTTAATATGCATGTTAATGCTCTCTGTGGTACAATCAAATTAATTGATTTTTTAATCATAACAAGCTCATTTCATGCCAAATGCCCCAACCATTTTGGCGACCATCTTATATGTATTAAAAAAAGAAGTAAGGGGGATTAAATGCATTGGAAACAGTAAAACGCTATAATAATTCTAGCGTAAAACTTTATTCACATGGGACCCTTCCGAATTTTACATGATCTTGTTTGAGTGATGTGTGATAGAAAATTTTTAATGATGGTATTGCTTCTTGTTTAAACACAAAGTTGAGTTACTTGTTTAAACACAAAGTTGAGTTACATTTTAGGTGAAGGCATTTTTGTAAGGTGTTCGAAGCTCAATAATATTACTGCAATTTTTCTGCCTTATATTCTTCTAGAAATCTTGCTAAAATATTATATTTTACATTGAAAATATTTGTCAATCACTGAAGTAATAATCTTATGATAAAAAAAATCGTGAATTTAAAAAAAAATATTTTTATTCACTTTGAGACAGTTTACACCACATGGTGGTTCTTTTAAAAATGAACGTAACAGCTCAATTGAAAACAAATAATTAGTTATTCATATGTGGCAAGTTTTATCATTATTCTTTTGCTTTAATGAGGAAAATAATTTTCAATGTTCCTCATGGATGAAAGTGCAGAGCTTCTGTGAGAAAGCTGCCATATGAACAAATGGGAAGATAGCCATCAATAGGTAACTTCCAAAATTTTTTTTTTTTTTTTGGAAGCGTCAATGCCACAATCCAACGCTGCGCAGACGCGTAGCACGGCTAAGCAGGGACATGGAAGAGCACGCGTTACAGGTATGCAAAACGCAATGGGAAGAGATCTGTAATGGGATGGAGAACCAGCTGGGACGGGCCAAGACGTGGCATCTCCTCCGGCACCTCTTGGATCTGGAGGAGACGAAAACATCGCACGCACATAAGCTTAACAAGTTGCTGCATGACTACAAAGGCACCCACGCGGAATTTCTAGATGACGTGCGAAGCCGTTACTTTCAGTCACGTAGCCCCCTCGCGCACTCGGCATACACCTGGGAGGGTGAGGGTTGCGGAGCTAGACGAGGACTTCAGCGTTGCAGAGGTGAGGGCGGTGCTGCACAGGCTCAACACAGTCGGCGCCAGGCCCGGACGGGATAACCATCAAAGCGCTACGTAACTTGGACGATGAGTCGATAGAACAACTGACGGCTTACATGAACAAGTGCTGGAATGCGGGCGCTATACCGAACTTGTGGAAAACGGCGTGCATAATTATGATCCCCAAACCGGGCAAACGAGTACAGATTGACAACCTTCGACCGATATCCCTGACGTCCTGCGTTGGTAAGGTCATGGAACATGTGGTTCTCGCTCGCCTTACCAACTACCTCGAGGACTGAAACATGCTCCCACACACGATGCTGGGGTCAGTCGTGACCTTTCCACGCAGGACGTTATGCTTCAACTCAAGCACGATATCGTAGACAATTCCACACGATCCACCAAAGCGATACTCGGGCTCGACCTCAAAAAGGCGTTCGACAACGTTAGCCATGCTGCGATACTTGAAAGTATACGAGCGTTGGGACTGGGCGAGAGAACGTACCACTACGTACGGGATTTTCTTACGGGCCGCCGGGCCCGATTAGCGATCGGCGGACTAGAATCGCAAGACATATACATGGGTTGTACGGGCACGCCGCAGGGCTCCCTAATCTCGCCCATGCTCTTTAACCTCGTGCTTGTCGGATACCATGAAAACTCGCTGAGATAGAAGGCCTCCACCATAGCTTATACGCCGATGATATCACCCTCTGGGTTGCCGAGGGAAATGACGGCCACGTAGAGCAAACGCTGCAGGAAGCCGTCGACGTGGTGCAGGACTTCCTTCGCGACACTGGCCTCGAATGTTCCGCCGCTAAATCGAAGCTCCTGCTCTATAGACCCTCGCGCAGGGGCTGTAAACCCAAGAACGCCGATTCCGCATTCGAGTGCGCATATAGAGAAATTAATGTACGCACTTCAGACGGCGCTGTCATCCCACAAGTTAACACCATTAGGGTACTGGGCTTGCGCCTGTCCGCCAACGGCCACAACGGCGAAACCGTTCGTAGACTAGAGGGCGCGGTCAATGAAACAATCCGGTTGCTGAAATGAATAACAAATCGGCATAGCGGAATGAAGGAAAGCAATACCATTCGCCTGGTACATGCTTTCGTTATGAACCATATAACGTACGTCGCCTCCTACCTCAAGGGGCAGGCGACTGAACGCACCAAACTAGATTGTCTCATCCGCAAGGCGTACAAACGCGCAATCTGATTACCGGCCAATACCAGCACGGAAAAATTTCTCGAGCTGGGGTTGCACAATACTCTAGATGAGATAATCGAAGCACACAACATCGCCCAGTACGAACGTCTAGCGAAGACCAGAACTGGTCGACACATCCTCGAGACATTGGGTATCAACTACCATACGCAGCGCGGCGAAAAGGTCGGGATACCCAGACGTATTCGCGAGCGCATCGTCGTTCTGCCGTTGCCTAAGAACATGCACCCGACACATCACATCGGTCGGCGCAACAGGCGCTCCCAAGACCTTGAAAAGAAATTCGGCAATAGCAAAGACACAGTTTACGTGGACGCGGCCCGTTACGACTGCCACCGCGGCTTCGCGGTCGCGATCACGGATCATGTAGGAACTTGTGTCACGAGTGCGAAGATAGGCACGGAAGAGACGGAGGGGGCCGAAGAAGCAGCCATAGCCCTCGCGATAGCCACCACGGACGCCGAGGTGATATTAGGCGACTCGCAGGCGGCGATACGCAACTACGCCAGCGGCCGGATCTCCCGCAAAGCGGCCCGCATTCTCCAAATTCACGAACGCAACATCTGCCTCAAAAACGACAGTTTCCTCGTATGGACCCCTGCCCACACGGACCCTCCGCTTGCGGGCAACGCGACTGCCCACGCCGCGGCTCGAGGACTTACATGCCGAGCTGGGACGCCTGCCGACAGTCCCGATGTCTCGCACACTTTGACAGCGATGCGGGAATGGATGTGGGGGGATCGCATGACCACTTTCAGAGACATCACGCAACACTACAGACTGAACAGATGCAAATATCCACCACCCCACGCCAAACTAAACAAGAAACAGCAGGTTGCCTGGAGACAACTACAGACACACACGTACCCGAATCCGGTGATCCTTCGCCTCTGCTACCCAGGCATTTATACGTCCGACGCGTGTAAGGCGTGCGGAGCCAGAGCGACTGCAGCACATGCTGTGGAAGTGTACCGGTAACGCGCAGCAGTCCCCTACGAACCCAATAGACATGGCGGTCTCGAACCGCGAGGCGCGATGGAAGGCGGTTCTGCTCAGTCACGACCTTGCCAATCAACTGTGGGCCGTCCGGCATGCCCAGGATGCCACCCGGGTCCAAGGACTCGAGGCCGTCACCTAGGCGCCGGGGTGCTTGTAGCCCCACCCCGCTCAATGACGCCGGACATGGTCAATAAAGTTTTTACTCACTCACTTAAAACAAGAAATTTGCTGATTTAACTTGCTGACTTGCCAGAATTGAGCAACCATTTATTTGCTTTTGATTAAGGTGTAAAACTGATTTTTAATAGGACCACGTGGTGTAAATTGCGTCTCGATGTGGACCAAAATGATTTTCTGAAGTTAATAGTTTTCTCTCATACATAGTTTTCTCTCATAACATTTACAAACTTGGGTGGTCTGATGGATTACTTATATTCATACATAGTGCTATACTACATCAGAAAAAAATGCAAAGACATAATCCTGGCAAGATTTTTGGAGGCATATAAGGAAGAAAAATTGTAGCAATATTATTCACCTTCAAACACATTACACAAATGCCGTTGCTTAAATGCGAACCAAATTTGGTGTTGAAATTAGGCACAGTACTATCAGAATAAATTCTCTAACAAACATCATCGAAACCACAATGTGCGAAATTTGGAAGGCTCGACGTGACTAAAAAATTTTTTGCTTTCTAAATTATTCTAACAATTCACTTCTTTCACTAAATCAATACACTAAATCCACTTTTTTTTTTTCGAATACATTTGAGATGTTTGTTAAGATTGCTGGGACGTTTGGTGTGCAATAGCCCCACACTGTAAGCCGCTTGTGTGCCTGTTCCAAGTGGAAAATGTTTTTGAGAGCGTTGAATGAGCAGTAAGCATCCCCGAATTGGTGCAGGCTAATCACTGTCGAAGACGAGCTACGACGGGAGCAGCGAGAGATGCAGGGCATGATTCGGGCCAAACAGCAGCTGATTGATGCACAAGAGCGTAAGATCCAGACATTGGATGCAGCCAACCAGCGATTGCTGGGAGCTCTTGCTCAGTTACGCCAGCACTATCAAGACCAGGTTCAGCTAGAGCCCCGACTGCTGGCCAATGGTGCTTCCTCGCCGCCACCACCGTCATACAGGAGCAGCTCCTGCTGACAGTGTGTGCCCATCACATTTCACACAAGTGTGCCCTCAAGGAAAGACACATTGTGTGGTCTTTCTGTGCACAAGGCCACACAATGCTCTTACAATGTAGACAATGTGTCCTTACAATGCTCTTGTGGCAGTCTCATCTTTGGTGGCTCACAACAGTTTATGCAATTCGAAGCCGGAAATTTGGAGATTCATTTTGGGTGCTACATAATGCAAGCTTTTGATAAACAGGCCTTTGTGTGTTTGTACAATACAACAGAAGTTATAGTAGTTAACCTACTTGACATGCCAAGCCAGTGGCCAATAGGCTCTACAGCGGTTCTTACTCAATATCTCATTGCTTTGTAATGTATGTGAGTAGAGGAAATAGAAGTCTATCTTTCTGTACAAACTTGCCCCTGGTTTTCTTTCTCTCTCTCTCTCTCTCTCTCTCTCTCTCATGTATGATGAAATGATGACAGTGATGTTCGAATCAAAGCACTGCTTCCAGTGTACCAACAGAGCCAATGTAGCATTTCACATGACCACTTCACTGTCTATTTTAGCCAGTTTCACATAGATAGCATAAATTGTACAAGGTTGTCTCAGGGCGCTTTTGGCCTCATTTAAGCACTTAGTATAACACTGCAGTGCCTACATTGTAAGTTGTTGAATATGTTTCGCTGTTGTAAACTTGACTAAATGATAGAAAAAAAAAACTGTTTTTATATCAAGTATTCAGTATTGATGAGCTACATTAATGGACACTACTGATTTTTATTTATTTTTTTATTTAGAATTAGCAATTTCATATGTTCAAAATAATGTTCTTACTGATGTCAGATTTGAAAGGCACTTTGTTCTTTGATGTTCAGCACACATAGGGTACCCATCCTGGGGGAAAAAAAAGTACTTAAATGGCATTCTAGTGTGAATCGTTGAGTTTTTGCTAAGCAGTATGAGCAATAAATTAAGGAAAATTTTGGCTGAATTACCTGTGTGGCCTTCTTTAAATTTGCTTGCAAGGAATGAGATGCCTTATTACCTTCTGCGGCTGAAATGTGGTCTGTGAAGTGGCAACAAATAGGTCTTTGTGCATCATACCAGTATATTGGTAGAAGCAAGTTTATGTCGATTGTGACCTTTTTGGTACACTTAAGTTAGCAGAGAAAGATTACTGAGCTGTTATATTTATGTTGCTCACTCAAGTCTTATGATGATTGCTAGGGTTAGTCAGAGCTGCTTAACAGTGTGCGAAGGCAATCATTAGGAAGATGAAAGCTATTCGTTACTCTTGGTTCGTGTTTTTTAACTGTTGTTGCATTATAAAGTTCAATTCAAAGCCAGGTGAGATGGGGCTGCAAGAATTTATTATTAAATTAGTTGCTAATGTAGAACTTGACGTTGTTTTTTTTGTGTTTGTCTATGCTTTCGTCGCATTAGCTGTACTGGACCTTAATGTTTTTGTCCAGAACAGCTTTTGCCTCTCTTCTTGTTTTTTGCACTTTCTTGAGAGAACCAGGAACCTTTGACCGGGCATAATTCACAAAAAAAAAAAGCACAGAACTTTTTTTTTTTTCACACCAAGAAGGCATCATGCATTCAGGTTCCTTTAATATCATGGCATAATTGGCCATGCTGGTACTGTGAGCTTAAGCTCTTAACACAACTGCATTGTGCATTTCCAAAAAGTTTTGTTGCTTTTGGGTTCTTGTGTGTGCACTATGATCAGATTGAAGTCTTCTCAGGATTAATTGGTTGTAATGAAATGTTATTCTGCAAACTGTAGCATGTTACAAACCACCCTAGTCCATCTGTTGCAGATCATGTCTGTGGTCACATTTATGGTATCTTAAGTGGATAGCATTATCACATTAATGCAAACTTAAGTTGTACATTTTTACTTTGAGTAATCAAAATATGTAGTTTAAGCTTAACAAGTCTGAATAATTTATCTGACTATCATAAAAAATGCAGTGAGGTTAAGTTCTATGGACTGTTGTAGATGGTGCTTGCGAGGAGTAGAGAACCAAGGCCTTCTTGCATAGTAAAATAGTTTTATATCTATGTTGGCTGAAAATTCTTGCATTGATATTACTGTGGATTGAATTGAGTAGGCAGGATTATGAGAGCCGGCTATGTGGCCTCCAATCATGCGCTAAGTCTTAATATAAGCCATCAGTCTCTTCAAGACTGTTGTGTTATTCCCAGTATTGTCTGAGTATATTTTGCATCTGAGACATTGGATATTTCTTGAACTCAGACTTGCATATTGTAATAGCAGTGTTTATTTTACCATTTTTTTAATTTTTGGTTCATTTATGTGTGCTGTTTTACATCTAAAGCATTGCGAGAAACCCTGAAAAGCTCACATTAAAACTGTTATGTCTCTAAAGATACAATTTTCAGCAGGGTCGCCTTTGTTTTTGAGCTGGATAATGTAGTTTGCAAAATTAATGGTCATGAAGAGAAGCTTTGTGAACCCCCTCTTTCCGGTAAATTATTGGTACGCTCTGAATCGCTCTGAATGTTTCCTTTTCAAAAGCAGTGTCTAATAATGGGGGCAGTGAATCATTACAATAGGCTAATGCCAATACTGCTGTGTTTCACCAATACATGCTTGCTATTCACCACATCTGGTATAACTATCTTTGGGGATGTGATGAGAATTGATGAGATTCTGTCAGCAGAAGTGTTACTCTGGTGAAACTGACTCATTCGAGGGCTCAGCTTGAATGCTTTTTGGAATGTGCAGCTGGCTCTCCATTTGTGTTATGTGCTGCATATATGCATCTCTATTGTGCAAGTTTTGCATTTAGATATCATTATTTGCTGTTCACACTACAAATGATGCATCAGTTATTTGCTCTTGACAAAGAAGAAAAGATGTATATACATAAGAAAGGTGTTATGAAAAAAAATGGGTGTATATTATTACAACGAATGCCGTGGTAAATGCATATATACATTTTTTCTTTTATGTACAAATTGCAGCTTTTGCCCGGCTACTGCGTTTCAGGGATTGCTAGTGGTTAAATGAGACTGTCATTTTTTCTTATTTGTATAAAGTTTGTATTGTTTTTGTTGTCAGTTTAACAAAAATGTTGATTCATTTGCAGCACAGATGTGCCTTTGGCATCTTTGAATATTGTAAATTTTAGTTAATGTTGTACCCATTTACGTTTGGGTCTGGATGTCATCCTAGGTGTGAGCTTGTATACCTTCTTACTTTATACCCCGCCATGTGAAGTTGATGGCAAAGTTGTCATTTACAGATCCATTACCAAAGAGCACCTCTTTTTCTTTTGTAAAAAAAAAGTAAAAGCTTTCTGTTCGTTGAGTTTCATGTGTGCCTAAGGACAAGTCGTTGACAGTTAGAGTACCATCGCTCATGTAACACGATGCTCTGTGCTGTTGGTGCACACTCTAATATGTGCATTTTGACATGCAATACTGTCCAGAGGAGCTTATAGAGAATGCTATACATGTTAAATACATACAAATATATATCTATATATACATATATATATATATATATGCATATATGTACACACAACACGTATACATATATTATCGCAAAGCTGCATATTGGGTTAGTTGGTCGAAACTCATTATTGAAGGCCATTAACAGTGGAAACAACAAGTGCTAACCAAATAAACCTTCAGCTGTGAATCAGTATGTGTGTCTGCCTTCTTTTTAACTCTTGTTGCTAGCACTGTTACTCGCCTTCAAGGGATATATATATATATATATACACTATAACATATTGGGGTATTGTTGACAGCTTTTTTGTTTGGTTTGCAGCTGCTCTTACACCTATGCAGTCTGTCAAAATAGGCACAGAAGTTGAGAAATTAGTCATGGAAGTTTAACAGATACTAAGTGATTTTGTGGTGGCACACTTTTTCTCATCCCATCTTTCAGTCCAAGTTTCGTGTTTTCTAGCATCACTTTCGTTAGCTTTGCGTTGAACACACAGCTGGACTGCTACACATCACATGCACTTCTTTAATGTTCCAGATTAGCCCTAAAATATACTCTGCATTCAGAAATGTTGGAATCATTCAGTAAGACCAAATTAAGGATGCATTAGTATGCACTTGAAGCTGTACTGTTTCTTTTTATAGTCATAACTTCCAATGGGCACCAAGCAGTCATTGAGTATAATGATGTGCATATTCTCTGTCATATCTGGTACTATATTAAACAAAGTGTATTTGTTGCATTGTAATGTCTGTCTGTGGGCTTGAAATTAGCTGTCTGGTTTGGCAGAGCCAGAATGTTGGCATCAGGTGCTACAAATCTTTCCTGGTTTTTCTCCTTTAACATCTTAAATGTAGCAAGGATGTTGTTTTGGTTCCACTGGTGGTGCTTGTCTATAAAGAAGCATTCAGCAGTAGCACCAAGCAGATTTACGTGATACGCTTGCAATAATAAGCAACGAATGTCTAGTGAGTTTATTTTTTTCTCTTGTATTTGTCATGGCTAATGTTAGTAAAAAGACTAAAGCATGTACACAAGACCTATACTTGTATACATCCTTGGAACGGAATTTCAGCTACATCTAGACAGGGAAAAACTTTTCCTTAGATAGCAGTGTGCCCTGTGCTGAATTCCTTGGTCAGATGAAAACAAGGAGAGGTGTGGAATGCTGTTTGGTATAAGCTTGTATTGACTTTAGTTTCCCTGTCACACATGACTCATTTTTATTAGTTGGTGGCACTTAGCATTGTATTGTATCAATCAAATATATTTATATCTAGTATTGTGCAGATCTTCTGTAAATAAACTGTCTATATTTTATCTTTTAGTCATGTTCATTGAAGTGTGTTACATGTGGACACAGGTTCTCAAATTTAATAACAACTTTTCAATGAGAGCCTTGTCTAGTTGTGCTATGTAATATCTATATTGTTAAAAAAATGCCTATCTGTAGAGAAGCTGCGAGTTGGCAGAGCCGAGTTGCTTATTACTAGAGCAATGCAAAAAGTGTGCACTGTTCAAGGAGTACTGACATCATTTTTAGACATCCTGAAATGAACGTTTTTCATTTCCACAGTATGCTGTAGGCTTGTGCAGATAGCAAATTTCAGGTTCCAAGTGATTAGTGATTTGTTCAAACAACTTTAAATGAAGTTTGAGTAGTATAATATTTTAGAACATAGAAAAATGACCATATTTCTCATGACCCAACTAACCTGCATAATATTTACTTTAAATTGAAACAAGGTATGTGCTAATGTTAATTTTTATTCAAAGAGAAGTAGAAGCAACTTTGAATAGTAGCAGGATTTGACGTTCAGTAAAATGGAAGTGATAACCCGTAAAAAAATGATGTTGCGTTGTAAAATTTACAATACTCTAGCCATATAAGCAACGGTGTAACTTAAAAAATGATGGATCTAACTCAGCAATATGTTGACATTGAAGTGAGGCTTTCTTGCAGATTTTCTTTGGAAATGCGTATTCACAGTGTAGCACACCTCTCCTGCAGTGAAATTACCTTTATGAGGAGGTTACATGCAGTCTATTCATCGATTTCGAACACCTCAAAATTTAGTATTAAATTCATTTGAAGCGAATCCTAATTGTGTAGTACAGTCAAACCCACTTATTTTCATTTCCCAGATAAAACGATCTTTCGTTTGTAATGACCATATTTCAGTGCATTTACAGTTTTCCTAGGCTACCCAATGAAATTGTGTCTACCGTATAGCGAACATTTTTCAAAGCTTTTCTTAAAACGAACGCTTCCAACTTGGTCACAATAAAAATATGGAGCATACGAAGCGGGGGAAAAAAGTGTTAAACGGGCATTCAAAGCATGTGAGAGGTGGTCGCTTGTGCTTGCCCCACTGCAGTTTACTCACGACCTTGGTGTAAGAATATTTTAGGTGGTGACAATGCGGCCGGCACTGCTTCCAGATTGTGTTTACCGCTTAGGCTGTTTCCTTTTGGCAGCGACGGGTGCCATTAACAGATGTTGGCTCAAGTGGCTAATGGGAGAAAGGTGCTGAACCACGCTAAGTACAACGGAGCCTCACTTGTTTATCACACTCGATGTATATGTGTACATCAATGTTGGCAAATTAATACACTGGTATTTGGCAGTAACGAAATTTGATTTTTCAATTGTATTTGCAGCCTATTTCTCAACAGCATTCTTGTCATATGAATGCTGTCATATAAATGACCACTCTCCACACCAAAGCAAACTTTGGTCAGGAGAGTGGTCGCATTTTGATGTGGAAGTGTTAGAGAACTGGTTTCGCTGAATTTCCGGTGTCTGCGGCGGTGACGGTGTCAGCATCTATGGTCCTAAGCAAAACAAGCTACATTAATCATGAACGAAAATTCGAGGTAGTTTTAATAAGGATATCAGCTAAAGGACATTTGCAGTTTGGCATACCTTGGGGCAGTCTCCACTGAAAAGCAATGACACGCTAGTGATCGGGACTGCAAAAGTGTGCATGCACATGTGTGGTGTGCTTGTATGTTTCTCAGTGTGAGTGTGTGTATGTACATGCTAGTGTATGTGTGTGAGTGCATTTGTGCACATGTGTGTGTTTGTGTTCTGTTCACTGGTTAATCAACAACATTTAATGTTTCTTGGTTCTAATGAGCATAGATAAGGCAGCTAGAAAAGTGGCTTCTGAATTGAAAACTAGAAATTACCTTTCTGCTTGATGACTAGGTGAGTCGGTAGCACATAGACTTAATGGGACTTTTTGAGGTCCTATTTGGTGCTTGTCAAGGTGTACTTGTGGGCCAGTTGGTTCATATTGGCAGTAAAACAGTGCCAGAGAAAACAACAGGCCAGACAAGCAGAAGTACACGTACACAAGGAACACTAATAACTGAAAGTTTATTCAGTATTTTCACAAATTGAATACTGCCTTCACATGAATAAACAGGAAAAAGAAGGTTGCAGAAAAAGGTTGCGCGCAATAGGAGTGACCACGTGATGCACTGCCATATTTCTTGTAACCTCCTTCTGTTTGTTCATGTGAAGGTAGTATTTATTTTGTGCAAATAGTGAATAAACTTTCAGTTGTTAATGCACCTTGTGTATGTGTCCTGCTCATCTTGTCTGTTGTTTTCTCCGGCACTGTTTTACTGCAACTAGTTGGTACCTACTGAGAAGAATTACTTAGCGAAAATAAACAGTTCCAAGTAGTGCTTTTTTTGTGTCTTTCTCGTGTGCTGCGTTTTTTCCTGCACTAAGTAATTCTTGTCTTATCATTGTGGTGTTGAAAAGCATCTTCTTCACGGGGAGGAGGCCCATCGCTGCTGAATTTAGAACTCGGCTTCTTGTGTGTTTGTTGATTCAGCATCGCCATGTCCTAGACTCGCTGTTTCTACGCGCAATCATTTGGCTTACTTTTAGCGGCTGTGTTAGGCACTTCAGAAACAGATGAACTTTTTGACCCTTCTTGTTTCCATCAATATGGCTGTAGAGCCCGCTGTTTTCAGAAAGGTTTCCCCTCCTTTTCTTTCTCCCTCTTGAGAAAATGCTAAGCACAGCATCCGAAGAGAGCTCGGGTTACTTTTGGGTGGGCAACAGAATGTTTCTTTTGTATTCTGCATGATATATTGCACAGATCTCTTTTTCTGGGAAACGCTTTATTCACACATGGTCAGTGGGCTCCAAGAAATTGTCTGCTCTTGGAATTACCCATCGCTACCTATCCAGCACTCTGGTTCACGCGGAGCCTTGGAGAACGACTCATGCTTCGTACAAATCATATACGCCGCTCCTGCAATTCGGGACAAAACTTCTTTTGCGGCCATTTTGAGGCGCAGGTACTCTGCATTTATGCAGCTTCGATACTTGGCATGATATGCAGCTTCAAGGTATACACAGTATATATGTTCAGTGAATCACAAAACACAAATCAGCAAACAAAATGCACTCACAAGGCTCACAAGTGCGGGGTAACTCGTTTCTAAATCACAGAACAGCATGCACACAAAGCTTTCAAAAAGATCTTTCTTCGCACGCAAATTTCAGAATGTGCCTCATGCAAGCCCCTGGGACACCATGCTATAGCGCCATTTCTACTCGTGCGGCGAAAACTACTCGTGGCTCAAGGTTATCGGAGAACACAATCTGCCCATGCCCTCTTCATAAAAGAAGCAGTGAGGGTTGGCAACTAACTTATTCTTACACTGTACTTATGATGGAGGTATCTTATACCTAGCGAGCCCCGCACATAGTTTTTCGATGCTGCGAGCGAGGTCGCTCATTTTTCATGTCATTCACTGGCAGAACAACAGTGAGGGGAAAAGAGAATGGGAGGCACAAGAAAGACTTGCAGTCAACTTTTACATGCTGAACTTTTCCGACACCATTCGTTGCATCTATGAGCACCGACAGTTAACCAAACCATGCTTTTGAACGCAAGGAGCGGTAACTTTTTTGTCACATAAAAGTTAACCACGATGCTCAACTCATCCACGCCACAATGTGCCGCGAAAGGCTATCTTTTGATAACAGCTGAGACTAGTAAATGAATGATAATGAGTGTCGTGTGGTTCTGGTGCTGCCTTAACAGATAAGCATAAAAGCGAGGCGGTGAGTGGCGATGACGTGCCATTTTGACTCATCTCCAGCTACCTTATCGCAGTCATCTACAGATATCTGCTCAGCTGTATGTGTTTAAACCGCATGGGTACAAGCGCGGCATGTTGCTGTTTGCAGGTTTGCCACTGCTGCGTTGTGCAAGGCCACTAGCGCATTGCTTGCAAAATGCATGTCTTCGTCATGTTGAATGGACAGGCTACTAGCTGCATGCGAGCGAGATCCTGAGTAAAGCATGCACAAAGAACGTGCAAATGCGCACGTACATACGTTAGACTGTGAACAGCCTGGCATGCTACGGTGAGAGCAGAGTAAGGGACATCCTGCATGTAACAAGCCAGAGATTATTAGTTCTCTCGTGGCGGTCTCGCGCTTCAGTCGAATGGCGAGAGTTCATTGCAAACGGGGCTCAATTTTCTCATGAGTAAGTGGGTGTTACTTAACACACAAAAAGGCCTAACTTATCAGTAGGGGGTTGTCAGCACTTTTTAATAAAATACACAAACTATAAACAGTTTGGTCATTAAGTGCACATGTTTCACGGTTAATCCAAGTGCTAGTACTGATATAACAACCACTTATCGTGGCACTTTCGAGTTCATTATAAACGGGTTCAACTGCATTCGTTCGAATATGCGAAGTGCTCGGATATTCGCACAAGAGTAGTATGCAGTGTTAACGTGCTCCATATAATGGAGTCAGGCAACATGTATAAAATATTTTATTTTAATGTTTTCATCGCTGAGCATTAGCACGCTAGCCCACCGCAGTGGGCATTAAACAAGTCAGCACAGTTCCATTGAGTTCGAGAATCCTGCGTCCTACATGGAGCCTAATGCAAAAATCACTGTCTGTGCCACTAGGCGACAATTGACTTGTTGTTTACGTGCACTACAAGCAAATCACAGGTGTACCACTAGTACGCCACAAGTTGCTGTTTCACCAGGACGTCGCACGGCCGTGACACGTCACTGAAAAACAGGGGGGTAGCCAGGGGGTAGCACACTGGGCATGTACAACCTCCCCCCTCCCCCTCCCGAAATTTTTTCCGCCGTGGCATAGAGAGCGAAAAATGGCCATTTTGAGGGGGTGCCCCTCCTCCTCCACCCGAAAAAATTTTCTGGCTATGCGCCTGCTGAGAAGCCACCCTCTCGATAATAAAATTGAAAGTGTTTTTTTAAGGTAGCTGTCTTAAAAAGGTATTGAGTACATTTCTTGGCACCATGAAA